AATAATATATTAATTATACGTTAACTTGTACCAAGATTTTAAATCTAAGTTACGACAACTTCGTCACAATTGATTATGGACAATTTTGGGTTAATTATAGAAATAATTAGTCAATAATTAATTGTTAAATCAAACTATAGTCTTAGATTCCTCATCAATATATATTTCAGTGATAATAAATTTAAATGATTTTAATAAAGAAAGATTTTTAAGATCATATAAATAAAATGATGACATAACACGATTTTATGTGATTATATATCTTTTTAGGATTCTCTCAAACAGAACACTTTGTGTGTCTAAAACGGATGCATTAAATATAACATTTATTATGTATAATGACCATATCACTTGTTTCTGTGTTATTTCTCAACAGATAAAAGAAATAAAAGTTTTTTTGGTACTTGGACTTCATAAAAGAATGAAAAATTCACTTTTCTTTAGAGAAAGGATAATTAGATATCTCCAAGTGTGCAAAGTTATCTAAAATGTCATTTCTTACTATTAGACGTGACAATTCATCTTGTTTTGTATTAAAAAGGTGGTAAGTAATTTCCTTGATTAAATAAGTAATAATTTGATAAAAATGTATTTAATGCACTCATTTAATACACTAACAAACATCTTACTTTATGAGGGAGGAAGATGAAAAAAGTCCATGAAGGAAGCTCAAAGATTTACAACAATTATCTTCTTCATGCACTTATATAAAGAAGTTGGAAGAACTTAGGAAGAAAACAACTTCAACCATTTATTCATTCTTTCTTTTTGTATAAAATCATTGAGAAAAACGAATCAATTTTTATCTTTCCCCTATTTTAGCCTTGTGTGTTAACTATGAGATGTTTGTTTAAAGAATACTTTATATTAAAGTTTTGAGAGACTGTTGTTTAAAGAATACTTAATATATATTGCCTAGAGAGACTTTCTTGTTAAAAGAATACTTGAGTAGTTTGTTTGAAGAGACAAATCAAAGAACACTTATATTGAGTCAAAAGTGGATTAATACTTGTATCTTTATAAAAAATAGTGAAACTTGATCAAGAATTAGATGTAGTCTCAGTGATTAAGACGAACTAGTATGAAAACACAATTTGTTTTATATTTTTGTTTTCTCTACATTCTTTAAGACTTTCACTATTTAAAAAAAATGATGAACTTTTATTGACACTATTCAACAACTATTAATTTTTCTCCATATTAATATAATTAATATTTTATTATTTCATTATATTTTTAGTTTCCTATAATTAATGCTCTTTTTTTAGGAAAATTTCAAAAGAAAAATAATTCAGAAATTGTTTATTTAGAGAAATAATACTTCAGAAGTTGTTTCCTTTTAATTTTGTTTATTTATTTCATTTATTTTAAATTTCTCATAATTATTAATTAATATAATTAATGTTTTATTTTTTTTATGCTGTTACAGTTTCAATCGCCTCTAATTATTTTTTTTTCCAGAAATCTCAAGAAAAAATAAGAGTTAATCACATATACACTGTTACTGTAAAAAAATTTTACACTGGTAGTCAATCAGAGCTGTTAATAGTGTCTTCATCTGCTCATTTAATTAAATTAAAATAATAAAAAAAAGCACTATTAACGACTCTGATTGAATGCCAGTGTAAAAAACTTTAAACTGGCAGTGTATAGGTGATTAACTCAAAAAATAATGCTTTAGAAGTTGTTTGAAAAAAAATACATAAAAAATTGTTATTTTTTGTATATTTATATTTACATTAAAATTGTCCATAATTAATAAAATTAATGTTTATTATATTGTTACAATTTCAATTTCTTATAATTAGTTTTCTTATATAATGACAGAATAGGTCGCTACATTTTCTACAATTCAACAACTAAGCAATGAAAAATATAAATATAATCTAACTTGAGATTATCATGTGAGCAGTTCATGAGTATTCATGCAACAATGTATATGTAGGGAAGAGACGATTGAAAACATAAAATTCTCTTAGCAGCTTACAACCAAATCTTTTACATATACATATACAAATATCAAACTACAAAGCATAAAAGTCTTAGGTTATCAGTCAAGCAATAACTATAAACACATTGCGTTAGAGCAACTAAAGAACATGCCATCTCTTGCTTGGAAAATTTACAACAAGCACTCCAAACCTAATCCTGGCTTACTCCTGTAAAGATATGATTATTGCAATCCAACAATATAAAAAAGTAAAGGTAAGATTGTATGCGAAAGAAATCAACATAATATAAAAGCAAATAGTCAATTATATAAACATCATCAACATCAACTACTCTAGTAGACAATCATATGCTCAACTTAACAACACAAATCAATTTATCAATTTCACAACAAATCAACGTAGTTAAACAACTTATAAACTAAACATTCAACAATTTAACAACATACAACAATTCAACTATTTCACATAGCAACTTGGTAACATGTCATACAACACATCATATAACTCATCAACGTATCAACAAAATAATTTAGCTAAACAGTTTATCAACATAGTATACTAACAACAAATCTACTCTATGCAATGTTTTATATTTCAATTAAGAGATCTTTTACAACATAGGTTAATAGGCTAAGTGGTTTGACTCTACCAAAGCAAATATAACAACTCTATCTTTTTGGCTTCCTAGATCAATGATAAAGTTGGATATCAATCTACAACATAAGGTGATTTCTCAAATTTCTTCTACTAGGAAAGTCCAATACCCGTCATTGGGTATAGTATACCTTGGGTATAGGTTCGTCACGACATTAACATGTATTAATCAAGTCACATAAGGGTTAGTCTACTAATTATACTTGTGATATTACACACCTTTCTAGAAATTAGTTAAGGTTTATCCCTAAACTTCATACCTTACTCAATAGGTCACAACATTAATAGTATGACTTGACCTATCCTTATATCATATCAACTAAGGACTTAGAGAAAACTTAACACTTCATCTCAAGAGACAACAACACTCAAAAACGGTTTTTCAACATTTAAAACAACATATCTCTACTAGTCCTAAGTTCACAACACAACTTAACATCATGTATCATGCATCTTATCAACATAATTCAACACTACAACATGTCTCATGCATCTCACAACACAATACTAGACAAAAACATATTTCTCATGCATTCACAACACAACACAACACACAACAACATATTACCCATACTCATTTTAGCACACTCACGCCCAACATAATCAACCCATGTCTGACGTTAATGTGATAGGGAGCCTTTGAATTACTCACAATAGGCATTAATCCTTCCACACCCAGGGTCAACGAGACAATGAGTCTCTACCTTACCCATGCTTGGTGCTACTCATCTTGCACTTGACATCATTAAGGCAAAAAGTCTCTAACTTGCTCACGCTTGACACCACTCATCATGCATCCGATGTCACCAAGTCAAAGAGCCTCTAATATAATCATGTATGGTGCCTCTTATCCCACACCCAACGCAACCAAGTTAGAGAACCCTTAATTGACTCACGCTCAACACTACTCATCCTACATCCAACACCATTAAGGCAGAGAATCTATGACTTGCATCACACCTAGTGCCATGAGGTTGAGCCTGGCGTGAAGGCATTTCTACACCCATAAAATCCAATTTCGCTCAACCAATTCAACAAACAATTCAAACCAAATCAACATGAAATCCAAAAATTGACATATATACATATAAAACAAGTTAAAATCACCAAGATAAACCACATGCAACAACCATATAATCTGGGACCATCAATTTTCCTTCAAGATATGCAAATCAACCACAAACCTAAGAAATAAAGATTTTCCACCTCTTGATTCAATCAGCACAGCCACAAAGGGATGAATTTAGGCAACAATCAACACATTCAATATATAACAATAATCTAGCTAAAAGCTTCTCTTACCTCGAAATTTCCAAAAATGAGGAAAAAAAGGAAGAACAACGAAGAACGAAACATCTTGAATCCTCATCATACAAAAACTTTGAACTTCAATTATTGACTTTTCAACTTGAATCTCAACGTTTACCACATCAACTAACAATCAAGAAAAGAAGTGAGATCTTTTGAAGGAATCTAATCGAACATGTTGACTCCAAAACACCATTGTCTAACTTCTCTATAATATTCTAGAGTTATGAACTTATGAGGTTCATTCCTTAGAATCTGCCTTATATACCTCAATCTTCCTTGGACTAACTTACACATATTTATGCTATATCTATTATAATTTAAATTTAGAGTTATCTCGACTCTAACTTTTACCCCACATAAATTAAAATAAGAAAAACAACATAAAATTATATTTTTAATCACATATATCATAAATATATTAGTTAAGAAAGAACATGACATTATATTTTACTCATATTTTTATTATAACTTCATATACGTGATATATTCTTTACGTGAATTTTGTGAAAGAAACTTTAGTATAATTTTTTTATTTATATTACATAAAAATATTACATGAATTTCTATTGCAATTTCTTATATATGAAATATTTTTTATAAAGCCGTTAATGAATAATAATTAGTATAATTAATAATAATTATTTAATATAATTAATATTTAAATATATCATTACAGTTTCAATTCGCTATAATTAATATTTTTTTTGTGTGAAAAGTCTCGTAAAAAATAATATTATGAAAAAAAGATTATTGCACACAAATAACATAAAAAATAAAAATTATTACATGAAAAACTTATAACGAGGTTATTCACTTTATTATAAAGAAGATATAAACTGTAAACAAACATATTATGCATTAATTGTAACATATTGTAGTCATTAATTTCTGCACAACCTATTTTCTCCATTTAGGTTTGGACCCACCAATCCAATATTAACATGACTACTTTTTCACACAGCACTTAAAATACACCTAATTCCACAAATCACATATGACCTATAATGAAACCCCCACACCCACCCCACATGGTCCCCTCTTGTGTCTATCATTTGGATATTTAATCCTTTGGTCCACCCCACTTTCAAGTCATGTTCCTCCCTCCTTTTTTGACCCTATACCTTTTTCTCCCTTCCAATTCCAATACCCCTTTGTGATTTTGGTTCTTTAGTTCTCTATCTCTCTTTGGAGTACATGGCCATGGATGCACAACAACACCAACAATCTTCAGAATTATCAGCAGAAGAAAATGAGAGAGAATCTGAGGACTTCAGAGAAAAGGGTCCACAAACTGGAACTGGGTCTCTCCCTAGTGGCTTCATTGGGAAACATAGGTTGCAAGCTGCCATAAACCACCTCAATAACCAAATTACCATTTTGGAGGTCAACCCTAATCTCATATCTCTCTTTTTTTTGGTCATCCATTTTATTTTGTTTAATCTAATTTGCATGAATTTTGTTCCTTCATAGTATATCTTAACTTAGAAGAAGAATTTGATAATGATGCAGGAAGAATTGGAAAAACTTGAAACAATAGGTGAATCCTCCACCGTTTGCAAGGAGTAAGCAAACCCAAAATAACACAATTATACATATTTTTCTTCTTCTTCTTATATATATATGGTTATGATTAATATGTAAATACCACAAACAATAGTGTTAATTTATTTTAACTATTGTTCATCATATCCTTTCATTGTGCTCTTGCAGTGTAATTTCAAGCGTTGAATCCATTCCAGATCCTCTCCTTCCTTTGTAAGAAATTCTCTTGATATTACATTTAAGGATCCAATGTTGCGTTGTGTGTGTTTTTTAATGTAAAATAATAAAGAAAGCATATATTATAGTATTTATATTTTTAATTAACTTATGAATTGATGACATATGTAAAATTTTAATTTGCAGTACTATAGGTTCGGTGGATGCTGGTTGGGATCGATGGTTCGGAGGTGCCCACCATTCTCGAAATCATAAACGTTGGATTTAGATATATTTCCTTTTGCATTTATATGTTTTTGGGTTAATTATGAAAATTTAAAATTTACCTGCCAGTAAGAGAGAGATCACTCTAATGTAACACATTGATAAATGATTTTTATTTTCTTTCAGTTTTTAATGATTCGATTTTCTTTCCAGAAAAAGAAAAGCATAATGATTATATATGAATCAAAATTCCTTCCTTAGCTGTTTATTATTTTTATTTGATACTTGTTTTGTTTTGTTTTTTCTTTTTTTCTAGCATTGTTTATTTCTTGTTTTGCCATATTTGTGTTAACAATGACTAGATAGTTGTTGCACTAGTTTTAAGTCGATTAGTTAAGGATGAAGCATTATTTTCTTACTTATTTTGCTAGCATTATTTTTATCAATAATAACAGAGTCAAAAAAAAAAAAAAACTGTCTGAAGATGATGAAATAACAAACACATAATATGCTGTGTCCTTTTGGGCCGGATTTCATCACCTAACTTGATAAAAATTGTATAGGTTGAGTTTATGCAATTTTTTATTTGTCAAATTTAAGTTAAACATAAAGTTAGATTGAATTGTGTCAATTGAGTCTGAGCATTTAAAATTATGTTCATATTTTTAAAGATTAGAATTTTTTTCTTTCTAAATGTTAGCTAATCTTTATATATAAAAACTCTATTTGTATCTATATAATATATTTCTACCATACACGTTAAACAATATACAGTGTATACATACAATTTGAACCAATATATATGTATGATTGACTTGCTAAGACCCATCAAAAAGTGCCTTCCCCACAAGATTGGTCATGTATGTGCATGTTGAATCTATTAAAAAGAACAATCTCAACTAAACAACAAAATAAATTCTCCAAATTAAATGTTATCCAATACTATAATTTAAAAAAAATGAATTATGTCTTCTTTTTTTTTTTTTCTATATTTGTGTGTCGTTCAAATATGTAATTATATATATATATATATATATATATATATAATATA